GCAGCTGTCCGCGAGTATGTACAAAATCCCTTTTTCACCTTCCCATTTATCAATGTTTTTCTCCGACGACTTGTAACCAAGAGGGAATTCAAAGGCGCTTGCCTATATTTCCCTTAATAAACTGATACTGATACTGATACTAATACTACTACTACTACTACTACTACTACTACTACTACTACTACTACTACTACTACTACTACTACTACTACTACTACTACTACTACTACTACTACTACTACTACTACTACTACTACTACTACTACTACTACTACTACTACTACTACTACTACTACCACCATCATCGTCGTCATCGTCGTCGTTGTCATCATCATCATCATCCTACCACTACGGGCGCATTTGCAAAGTCTCATCCAGTCCCCTTACAATTTGCTATCCCCGACATGTATTGTCTCTTTGCCCTGTGACAGGTCACGCCCCTCCCGCACGCGCCTCAGATTAATGACGCGAGATGCAAACACCCCCCCTCCCCCCAACAGAATACCCCGACAGTTCGGCATGGAGCTCGCAGTGAGAGGGACTTGTATGAACAGCTGTTCCTGACGCATGGATGAAATGTTGTTCCAGATTTCATTTGACACTCACTACACAGATCTTAGTGTTTTACATGCCACAAGGATTCCACCTGCTGGTACGGTGAGTAATGCCAGCGAGCAATTGCACACAAACCTGGGTGGACAAATTCCAGAACTGAGAGGCGCACATGGAGAACATTATGCTCCACGAGCCAATGTGAGTGCTATGCGGACGGTTTTTTATGGACTCAGGACTGTGCACCTAGGATTTGGGAGAACGCAGAATAGTCCATACTTGCAGTTAGTAGGTGTATTACAGCTTCACCGACTTTGAGGATTGATAGGCCCATTCGATTTTACATGTGCGTTTCTTCCGAACTAACGAGTTTTTTTGGCAGGTTGGCGTCGGAGAGGAGAACTGGCTTTCAAGTTGTTTTTTTACGTCTAAATTCTGGGGAGGAGCACTCAGTTTATGGACAGCGATCGGGATGCAGGATACGTACGAGAAGTAAGTATCTATATCTCTTCGAAATTACACGAAGTATAACGTGAATCATTGACAAAAAAAACTCAATTTGACAGCTGCAGTATCCTTCAAACCACATTCGAGCACAACCATATGGGACTGGCACTCGTCCATCCGACCTAGTTGAGGGACGGGATACTGGTTCCGCAGGTATGCCTTGGAGTTTCAGGCTACAGCCTTTGCAGGTTGTCGCATGGGGAAGGGGACGAGAAATAAGTAATCGGTGTGTTTTCGGAGGCAGACATGGGAGACTGGAAGGCCCGTTTCACGTTTACCTAACTTAGTCGGTCACGGTGCTGTAATGCCATAAATTTGGGTCTGGGTCCGGTTGGTCTAAAGTCCAACCCCCTACCCACCTCCCGACTGTCGTCCAATCGTCACGATATGACCGCAATCGGGGACTCTGGGCCAAAGTAACAGAGCAAAACGGAACGCCCGCACGTAGTGCTGAAATCAGGTCAGCTAGATGAACTGCATCGGTCAAAGCCTGTTTTAATTGCACTGCTGTAGACTCCTAGACGTCACATTAGCTGGATATCTATCCGACTCCCACATCTTCCTGCTTTAGTTTTGAAAAGGGCTGGTTGTCAGATGGAAATGAGAAACGATGCTCCTCAACGTTCACTTCCAAGGAGACGCGATGAGTGAACCCCTGAGCTCGGATATTATTCTCACCAGCCCCATTTCACACGGAGAAAGAAAGAATAAGTCGTCAGCTCAGACCTTTACTTGCTCCGGTGGAATGGATTATATTGGTTGTACTAATCAGCGCCCGTCTAAAAGAATGCGCAAACACAGACCAGGCTTGCAAAGTCGAAACTTGGAGAATGAGCTGTGTCCCACTTGCACATATGGTTGGTCCAGGACATCGTGTGAACCCCAAGGAAGTCTTTCAAATGATTTACAAGGTCCCACTGGACAGCGTAAAACCACTTGGGGAACGTCTACTAACAAGGGCAGAAGTGGCCGCAGACATATTCTGCAAGTCGACCTTGTGCGCATCGAAGGCCTTCGCACTGGCCCCACATCTACTATGGTCAAAAGCCGGTTAACCTGTTGACTGTATGCAATTTTCCAAACCTTCTTCCCCCCTCCCTCGTACAAGGCTCTCTCCAACCCTTTTCAATCTACACTGGCACTCATTATCTGACTGTACTGATACCGAATTTAATTATCCTTCCATATTTCCACCTACTACCTGCCCATTCTGGTCTCCTCTGTCTTCTTCAGTAAACGACCGAATGCAAGCGTAGCCTCAAGCTCACGGTCAGAGGTAAATTTGTCTATTTCCCCACCAGAACCACAGAAACTACAGGTTTTTGCAATAGAATACGAATTAGTCCTCACACATCGGGCTAGTGCGCCCATGCAAGGGACGTTGGCAATCCTGTGACCTGCTTATCTTATCCCGTTGCTGAATCGACCCTCTCCTATTATTCACCCCCTACTCCAGACTGCACAACCAGTACGTCACTTTGGACACATTTGGTTAGGCATAACAACAACGAACAAACTTGTGAATCCAACGTTAATGGAGCTCGGGGCTGGCAGGGGTGGGGATTAGGGGTTGGCGACGGGACTGGGCAGTTGGGAGGGGGGGGGGGAGTGGGCTGAAGGGGGTCGAGTCAGGCGGTACCGGCAACCCCAATGAATCATGATGTGGCAGTTTAACATCCGGGGCCGTCCAGCGTGCGCTCAAACAAATAAACACCACCGCCGCGTGAGGGGACTCCGAAGCTCTAGATTCTGACAACGGTGGAGAGGTAGCTCATCGCTGTTGCATTGTGTTTCGTTTAGGTAGTGATAACACTACCGCTGGGCCGTGTTACAATGCCCATGGATAAAGAAAACAGGCTCGGATCACAAACGGATTTGGTTACTGTGAGAGGTAGAATACTGTAGTTCTGGCGTGAAGAAGTGAATGCGGGCAGATGGTTCAGCCTTTACCGCTGTACGTTTGGTTGACGGTGCGTTACACGATGCACCTTCCAAAATGTCCGATACTGACTGTTGTCTGAGGAGGTCAGGTATAATGCCGTTTCATCTGTAAATCATAAGAGCCTAGAATTGTTGAGTAGCAGTTCGTTTTTATGCAAAATTCGGGCCTTGCTACAGAAGAATCAGGTGCACAGAGAACTGATGTCCACGTGTGCCACACACTCGGCTTATCTTTTATTAGGCTCTAGACAGGATCGACGAAAGGACTGAATAATCAGCGGAAGGGATGGTATCTATAATTCAGTTCCAGAGATTGCATAATCTATACTGTTAAAAGCAAGCACGTTCAGAAATAGTTAGATCGGAAACTACCGTACTTATGCCATACTTGTAACTACTATACTAATGCGCAAGCCAACCGACCACTCTATAAGTCCATACAAATTATGACTGTACTGAAAAACGTTGACAGAACACCTCGCCAGTTCTCCTGGATAAGGTAAAGCCAACAACGCTCTGAGATGTCCGCCAGGGGGAGGGGGATGTTTTTTACTGTCCCACCCCCTGACGGAGACGGGTTCAGGCATCGTGTGTTATCCAGAATCTTCTAGTTGTCTGACAAAGTTAATGGGGGGTCGAGCTCTAAGTAAATAGTTTCAATATTGTTTCCACTAAAAAAACAGACTCCAGCAGAAAACCGGAACCATGGTTCATCATTTCCATGAGGACGTTAGACGGTCAGGCTTGAGTCGGCGCAGTAGCCCGGTGGAAGCTAGTCTGGCCGATGGTGGCTGCGAAGTTTAGAGCCGTCTTATTAAGGTAAATTCTAAATAATGGGTGGGATCGCTATGGCTCCTGAATTTATTTGGAGCACTTTGCTGCAAGCTATTCCTCTAACAATAATCGCCGATGTATAACTTTCTAAATTTATAAATTTACTCGCTCACGCTCAGGCCACAC